CGCGGGGGGGGGGGTCCAGCTGCAGGGCAGGGTGAGGACAATCCTGGCCCTGACCCTGATGAGCTCTGGGCCCACTTCTGGGCTGTAGGGTGGGGGCGAGGTTTGCACCTCATTTAGGCTCAGCAGTGCCCAGGCTCCCAGGGTGCTGAGGCAAGTGATTGCTGATGGAGGATCCCCCCTCCCCAGTGCCCTGCATACTGCCCTTTGCAGGAGGGCATGGCTGCACAGCACTTCAAAAGGAACCGGTCTCATTACAGTCTGAGTCCTCATTACGTGAGGGTTCAGATGAAGGCGCTCCAAAGCGGCTCCGCTTTGTTAACTACTGTCAGTGGGCATCAGGGCAAGGGCTACGCTGACGTAGCCCAGACTGACTCCTGGCACTGCCTTCAGAATGGGGAGGGGGGGAAGCGAGGGGAGGGGTTTGCCCAGCCGCGTTGGATGGTGGGGTGCATGGATTGGAGCCCTCCCACCTCAGGGAGCTTCAGTCCATGCACCCCACCCTCCAACACGGCTGGGCAAACCACAGCGCGCACGGAGCTCTGTCTGCTCCCGCCCCCCCAATATCTGAAAACAATGCTGGGCCTGGGCAGGGGAGGTTGATCCCCTAAGACACACCAGCAAACACCTGTTTTGTTCTGGGGATCTCTGTAACTCATGATACTTCCTGCAAAGTGCAGTGTGTTTTAGTGGAGTTACCTATCTGTCAGGGCCCTGAGTTTGGAGTTGAAAGCACAGCCCTGGCTGGAGTCTGGTTCGAGCCAGGTTTTGCAGCCGTGTTTGGTGTCCAACACCAGCCCTCCCAGAGCAGCCTGCTGTCCCACCTGAGGTTTCTGTGACATGTTTCAATTCCAACACGTTGCTGTTTAAGCCTGGTGTGTAAATGAATTTGATGCATCTGCTTCAATGGGCTGTCCTGGACCAGTCAGCACCACACCAAGCCAGCCGTCTGCTTTCAGGCCTGCCTCTTGGCTTTGGCTAAATCGATCTGCAGAGTTGGGTCAAGAGCTAGAACCATCTGTGCAACTTAAATGGCTGCCCATGCACTGAGGGGTGTCCTGAGTTGTTACCTCAGCATTTGGGGTGTCTTCTCTTAATGCATTGGCTTGGCCTGCTGGACTCTTCCCCTGCAGTGCGTGAACTTCTGTGTTGAGAAGGGATTGGAAGGAAGTAGAGGGGGTTTGGATTCAATGCTTCATTGATCTGGCTTTCACTACGAAAGAATTGCTGAGTCTTGCAGGGCCCAGTGCATTGGTTTTGCCTGGATTATTTTTAAGTGTTTCTTTTTAGTCATAAGGATTAATAATTTTTTAAATGAAAACAGAGATTCTGAGTTGAGTGAACTGCTGGAATAGCCATGCTCAAGGAGTACACATCTGTGGCATGTGCCAGAGCTGGAGCTGCTGCTGTGCCTCATGCTACAGCAGCAATTCCAGTTCAGTTTTCAGCATGCAGCATTTGGTGGGAACCAGCAGCTGGGTGGCAAAAGGTGAAACGGCCTTGGACTACTGTGGCTGTGTCAGTCCTCACTTGCCCCTTGCCACCAAGCTTTATGTTCACCAGGGCCTGAGGGGCTTGGGTTCTGTGACAGGTCATGCACCACAAC